ACTGCAAAGAATGGGGCAGACAATCCCCAGAGCTGGTGGATATTCCAATACTTGGATTTAATAAAATAGCACAAAACAGCTTCTATAATACCTCACTGGTTACCCAGAAGCCAACACAGTTGCCTTAAAGTAACCCAGCCTTAGGCCTTCACTCAGACACCCAAGTCAAATATGATGGGGATTACTGAAAAACGTATTCATCATATAAAAAAGTTTTACCAATCCCAAAGGATTGGGCACGTTACCTCCCAGGTTAATGAATATTCCATATTTTACCCAAATACACGCTTACACCCAATTCTTATTAACTAAACTAAAAGTTATTAAAAAGAGAGTGTATTGGTTAAAAGATCAGTATACATACAGACATGAATATAGATTCATAGTAGAGGTAGTAAGCTTTGTAGTTGCAAAGAGTTCTTTCAGAATTAGTTTATAGCCCAATGTCCATTTTCAGGGTGATTCCAGGTTAGGGTTGGAGACCTCAGTCTTGGTTTTAAAGTTCCTCTGCATGAAGCAGCTCTGAGATTAAAAGGATCAGGACCAAAGGGGGTTTTATACAGATTCAGGCCTTCTCTTGACAGGTTGGAGTCCTTGGCAAACAATAGGCAATTATGGGGACTTTTGAAGTAGATCTATTTCCTAAGCATCACCGGTAATTATCTACATAGATTAACATAAGGTAATTTCCTGTTTTTCATCATTCTCAGGTGATTTGCTATACATTTCAAAGAGAGATGAATACAGTGATATCCTACGTTTACAGTTTATCTAAATGTTAAGATGTCCTTTTAATCTCTGAATTAACAGAATACACAATAGACAGGGACTGTTTGATTACATTGTTAACCATTAACAATATATATGTAAAAACACAAACATCATCTACCAAAATGTCTCTAAGGGTTGAATTTGGGTCAGTTATCCTGCAGGATGCTTAACCCTTTCTGGCCAAGCATCACAACATCATATTCTAAGTACCATCTCTAAGCTTTCTGAATGCCTTTGTGAGATCCATATCAGGTGAAGGGTGAATGACTTCAGCTGAATCTAGACAAGAGTGAGGTCATATTAGTGAGAAAAGGGAAATGCCTAGAACTCTTCCTCTCCTCCATTGCAATCCCCTCCATCAAAGGGATCTGCCATCACATGGTCAAATTGATTCTAAGCCTTGGAGTCCTGTAATGGGGAGTATGTCAGACATTGGCAAATAAAAGGTTAACAGGGAGTCTGAGGGCCAACTAGCCCATTTTGTGGCACCTGGAGTGGAGAGAACTAATAAGCATTAACTCTATCCTTTATTTCTAAACTTTATTCCTATAAAGCAAGAGGGGGTGTGTGAAGACTCAATTTTGAGTGAGGAGATCCACAAGAGAGGAGGGGAAGAGTCCCCTTGCTTGTGGAAAAGCACCATGGGGAAGCTACAGGAATGAAGTTAGCCCTATTGTAGACCCTGGAAGAGGGGCAAGATCCCCCGAGACAGTCTTGTAGGTTGGTGTCCCAAGGGAGTTACAAGGAGCTGAGAAGACCTATGTTGAAGCTGGAGAAGCCTGGGAACCAGAGAATTGATTGTATTAACCACCGGTTCATGGGAAATGGTGCAAGGGGCTTACAGGTAGGAAGCAGTCCAGGGAAACAGCAGCACATCTGAAGAAGCAGACCTAGCTCCTTAACACAGGGTCCCTGGACTAGAACCCAGAGCAAAGGGTGCAACTGGGTTTCTCTATCAGCCCCAAAGGAAGGGGCACAAAAGCCCTACACATGGTCTAGTGAGCTCAGAGTGGGATTGAAGACAGTCCAGAGGATGGCTGAGGAAAAGCCCAAGAGAGGGCTGAAGGATCATGTGTTGGGACCTTTGGACTTTTAGTTGGACGTTTGTTACCCTGAAAAGGGCTTGAACTTAAGTGTGACCTGGACAGAGGGTCAAGTCACCCAGAAGACAGTGACAGAACCAAATCGGCTAATGGGGTGGGGGTAGTGAGGGTGACAGAGCCCTTGCAATGTTGCATCTTGGCATGAGAGGGAGATTTGCTGGTGAGTGACTGCCAAGATAGATCCATGTAGACTTTGCATTGCACTTGGCTACAGCAGCTACAGCAGCAAAAAACTTTTAATCCGCCTGTGTCTGGCTGAAGATTGCATCTGATCCTATTGAACACAGATCTGACCAGAATGATCCATGCCTTTGTAAATCTAGATTGGACTATTGCAACTCTGTGTAACTAGGAAGGAACCTTCATACCCTGAGGAAATTCTAGTTTAATGAGAACATAGCAAGCTGCCTATTGAGCAATGCAGATAACCAGGAATGCATCATCCCACTATGCTGCCCCCTGCATAAAGTTCCCATTGAACACAGGGTCTACTTCACAGATTCATAGAGTTTAAGGAAAGAAGGGACCATTACATCATCTTTGTGATCTCTTGTGTAATACAAGCCATTAAATTTTACCCAGTCACCATGTGTTGAGCCCAATAACTTGTGTTTGACTAAGGCATATCTTCCAGAAAGGCATCCAGTCTTGATTTGATTTATGGACTTCAAGGTAACTGTCCTAATATTCAAAGTCCTGCATGGAATTGAACTATAACCTCCTATAAAAGCTAAATTCCATGAAACTTTCAAGCAATAGGAGGAGGTTCCTGGCCTGTTGTTCAAAATGCTATGGGAAGACTACAACTATGGAACTTGCTACTGGAATAAGAATGAATACTGACCTCACTGCTTTCAGAGATGGATGCAAAAGCCAGCTCTGCTCAAGCTTTCCCTTCATTCTTATTGATTTCTTTAAAAAGAACTAAAATACATCCACAAGACCTCTAAGTGTGCCTCTTGGAAGCAGGCAAGTGAGAGAGCATTTTTAAACTAGGGGAAGCACTGCAATACATGATGTGGGCAATGTAGGCATTACTTAGAAGCTGCTTCTGAAAACATGAAAGTGACTGTATTGATCCTCTTCCTTGGAATGTTGCTTCTGTGTTTAATAAAAAGTTATGCATTTTGTTAAGGGGCTCTAACTTTGTGTGTGGTGCAGGATGCTCAGTGATTCTACACTACCAAAACTCTTCACAAAATATACAGAGAAATGTCTTTTTAAAGATTTATGCACCATTTGCCAAGAAAATGCCTTTTTGTAGCTATGGCAATGTTTATATAATAACTTTGTCTCTGCTGAAGTACTGTCCAAGCTGATGGGACATAATTTTCAAAGCTGTGTAATGGTCTTTCTAAAAGGAAATACCAGGAAAGAACAATGCTGTGCAACACAGCATACTTGGCTGTCAGAGTCAAGGATAAGCATTGTTAGCTGAGCAAAGTTAATCTGTATTCAAAGTAATTTAATGAACTGAAAGCTTAAAAATGTGGACTCTGATTTTTGACTGCATGCTTTACTGGTATTCTGATATCTCTGTTTCCTTTAAGTGATCATTTGGATCACTCCTTTAAATACTTTAATTGAATTCAGGAGGACTAGTGGTTAAAACACAGGATTGGGAGTCAGGAGATCTGGGCTCTGCCATAACCTCTGTGACCATGGCAAGTCACTTAACTTTCTTGTGCTTCAATTTATCCATCTGTAAAGTGGAAGTGATACTGCATACATCACAGTGTTGTTGTGAGGCTTAATTTAATTAAGATTTTTGTACAGTTCTCTGAAATCCTCAAATGGAAGAGTAAAAGTGGAGAACACAGTTATTTCCATTGGTTATAACACCATTTACTTCTTAAATCTTGTACTGAAGTTTTAAGGGCACACCCCATACCTGTACAAGCCAAACAGTGAAATGTTGTGATTAAAACAAAACACAGATATATCACAGCACATTTTCTTGAGATTCACTGGCTAACTAACAACATTTTGTCCATCACTACACACATGCACATGAAGGAAGAAGAAACTCTTTACTGAGTAATATATTGTACATGTTAATTGTAACAGCATTTTAAGAATTTGAAAATTCAAAGCAGGCTAGCCCTAGTAGTGCTAGTCTGATTGGCCAAGGCATTTTAGTCCCATCCCCCCCATCCCCAAGGACAACTGTCTGGGGTTCTCTGCTCAGTGGCCCTATCTGGTTCCCTGCTTATGGCCCTATGACCTCACTCCTGTCCCTGTTTCTTATTAGTTGTCCCCCAGAATCATTTGAGGCTTGGGTTCAGTGGCTCCTCCCTTTAGGCTGGGAGAGGGATCTTCAGGCACGGGTGGGCTTGTCCCCACCTGCTCTTGATCTCAATAGGTGGCTATGAAAGAGGAAATTATCATCATCATGTTCCTATTACACCTCTGGCATTTAGGGCAGCAACGAAGCTCCTCCACTCCTGTCTGTTTCTGGCAAGTCTGTCAATGGTTCCCCAGCTGTGCCCCAGGCTTTTCAGCTTGGTTTCCACAGCTCTTTACCATGTTGTTTTCAGGCAGCCTCATTTTCGCTTGCCTTCAGGTGTCCATCTTATTGCTACTCTGGTGATGGAATCATGGAAATGATGGGAAATGAAAGAGGAAAGGGGAAACTGTAATACTACTGAGATGGGGATTGAAGGTTCTCTACAGAGCTAGTTTTAGCAAAACATCTGCTTTGCCCACCCCTCTGCTAACTTTTTGGCCTGAGGGCCACATTGGATTTCTGAAATTGTATGGAGGGCTGGTTAGGGGAGGCTGTGCCTCCCCAAACAGCCAGGTGTGGCCTAGCCCCCATCCCCTATCTGACCCCCCCTGCTTCTCACCCCCTGATGTCCCCCCCGGGTCCCCTGCCCCGTACAACACCCCCCCCCCCCCGTCCCCTGGCTGCACCCGGACCCCCCGCCCCTGACTGCCCCTTGCTGCCCCATTCAACCCCTCCTCTCATTCCTGACTGCCCCCCCCGGACCTCTGGCCCCATTCAACCCTCCTGTTCCCCACCCTCTAACCGCCTTGACTCCTGTCCACACCCCTGCCCCCGACCACCACCCTGAACTCCTCTGCCCTCTATCCAATGCCCCCCCGCCCCCACTCACTGCCCCCTTACCGCGCTGCCTGGAGCACCATAGCACCAGGACAGGCAGCCGTGCTGCCCGGCTGGAACCAGCCATGCCACCGCGCAGTACCATGGGTCAGCGCCACTGCTGGCAGTGCAGTGAGCTGAGGCTGCAGGGGAGGGGGAACAGCAGGGGAGGGGCCGGGGTCAGCCTCCCAGGCTAGGAGCTCAGGGGCCGGGCAGGAGGGTCCCACAGGCTGTAGTTTGCTCACCTCTGGCTTAGCAGAACAAGAACCAAGAAGAGGCAAGAAGTGGAGTGATGCAGAGTTACTACTGCCCAGTTTAGTGATAGACATGTAGCAAAGCAATTTATTGGAACATTTATGGTAAAGTCATGTGAGGCCAATGGATGACGTATAAGTAAGGTCCTTGCAACTGATGAAATTGTATTTTGATTTGAAGTTCAAGCAGCAACTTGCTTTTTATTCTACCTTCAGCATGGTTTTTAAAATGCACTTGTTCAGTGAAGTAGGATTAAGAAGGTTACTCTTGAATGTTAGTGTATTCCTCTGACTGAAGTACTCATAGTTCAGGTTATCCATAATGACGCGCAGGCAGCATTTTCCATTCTGTGGAATGCAAAGGACATCAAAATAGAGAGGAAAGGTAGTCGTACGTTTTGAAGAACAGACCTAGCAGTCATGAGAGCTTGATTTTATATTACCTGTGCAACCCTGGGTGAGTCACTTGATGTATTTTTGCTTCTGTTTCCTCATCTGTAAAATTTCCATTATAGATTCTCCTCTGGAAGGTAATATAAGTGCAAAGTAGCATCAAAGGCTATGAAAAGAGGGGGAAGGCTTTACATAAAATGTAAGTCAGATGTATTTCTTCTAGTTCCTTGCTAAAGCCCTTTAAATTAGAACCAGAATATCAATAGCACTTACCCTTTGTTTATGGTCTTCCTGCAACTGATTTTTGCACTGCTGTGAGCTATTAATACTCGATTGAAGTTTGGAGTGTTGGAACATATTTCACTATTTTAATGTATTTTCAATACATTAATTTTCAAAAAGTTTTGTTTCTTTAACAAAAGATGAATATAAACGATTAAATTATCCAGTTAACTGCACTACTATATACGAAATCAAAGACTTACCATGTATACAGTGTCAGTCCCTATCCTGCTCCAACAAATTTTTTTTTTTTTTTTACAGATTTTGTGGCCATTTAGATGTTGCCTTCTTTCTATAGTTTAACTTTATATTATATATGTAATAAACATCAGACTAAAAGTAGTATTTATTATTCCTATCACCCCAGATCCTAGTTTTCTACCCACAAGTTATTTCTTCTGATACCCACCATATTCTCCCCTGGTGGAGTTTAACAAGTCACACCTGCCTCAGTGAGTCAGCAAAAATAAACCTGCCATTCCGTCTCTCCTCATAGGAGAATCCTGCCAGTCTTTTACACCATTACATCAACCAGCCAATTATAATGAGTCATTAGATGCTATTACATTCAGAATACATTTGCAAAAGCCAGTATATAAGAATTCATCAGCCCAAATTTTCAACTGCCATAGTGTGAGTGATGGAGAATTCCTAGTTTTATCCACCTCATGGAAAATCATCTCTAACTAAGACAGAATGAAAACTGCTGGTGTTGTTCCTATTTTAGAACATCCCTCACTTAATAATTAAAATGTTGTTCTCCATATCTGGATTTCTTCAGTGAGCTTAAAAACAGCAAAACACATTTTAGCCCGAAACATTTTATTTTTGTTTTCTCATTAGTCTCAAAACATTTACTTTCTTTAACTCAAATACCACCAGAGTTCTATGTACTTCTCCATATTTCATTGGGAGTTGGAGTGGGCCCTAATCTTTTCACGAACACTTTATTTCCTATTCAGTAGCATGAGTGCATCTCATGTAGTCAGTTCTGTGCAGTTAAAGTTTTGTGATTCAAGTGTTTTGTGTTGTAGTCAGTTGAGTGTTGACCAAAAACAATCTGGAAATTGTCATGTTTTTAATCTGAGTTTTGTGAATATAAAACTGAGTCTGAGTTAGGCTTCCTAATCTGAGGATATTGCCCCAAAAGTGCAACTCACAATTTGACTCTATGCTCTTTGAATATGTCTACACTGCAATTAAAACCTCCAGCTAGCCTATGCTTGCTGACTTGGGCTCAGGCTAATGGTCTGTAGGCTTTTGCTTGGGCTGGTGGGCTCCAGGAGCCTGCAAGAAAGGAGGGTCCCAGAATTCAGGCTATAGACCAAGCCAGAATGTCTACACTGTGATTAAATAGCACCTTACCCTGAACCCCACAAGCCCGAGTCAGCTGGCATGGTAGTATGTCTACACTACCCTTTGAATAGATATGGCCCAAGGAATGCTTGTGAACATGCATCCAGGCACGCTCAAGCCTCCAGCTAGGATGTATAATCTTTTTGCATGTGTCCGCATTCCTGGAAGGACCAAACCCCAGCCTGGGATCAGTTCATTGTTTTGGCACATGGGTGTTGCCTTTTCCAGATCTGCTCATTTCTTTCTGCTCCAATGTGTAAAAATACATTCCTATCTCACAGAAGTATTGGGAAGTTTAGTTAATGAACTGTAAAGCACTTGGAACATGCGTATTATTAGTCGTCGAGCTCCACAAAGAGATTGATGAGAAGGGATTTGAACAGGGGTTATTCACCTGTCAGATGGGTGCCCTAAACCCTAGACTATAAAGTCACTTGCAGTGTTTCTGGCTTAGACTGGTTTCAACAGAAGCAATTGAGAGAGAGATACAGCAGAATAGGGGTAGTTCTGGGGTTAGGGTACTCTCCTGAAAGGAGAGAAACTCCTGTTCAAATTCCTTCACATCATCAGGCAAGAGAAGGAACTGAACCAGGATCTGTCAGCTCTTGGTTTAATACCCTAATCACTGGGCTAAAAGTTATAAGGAATCCGGTCTTTCTCCCCACTAGTGGGTGAGTTCTGCGTGGAGTTACTCGATCAAACCCTGCATGAAAGAAAGGCGGGACAACACCTATCGTCCTATGGTTTGAGGATCCTGCTGGGGTGTAGGCATGATATAGGCAGCTGGTTGCCTGCCTGAGGTAGCCCTATGCATGCTCAGAGGTAGAAATTTAGGTGGGGAGGGAACTTCTATAGCTGAAATGTTAGCACTTAGTGATTTTAGGCACCTAATTAGCTGAGTGGAGGTTTTTTGGCTCACAGTAGTACCTCAATCTGGAATTTAGGCATCTAAGCTCCGTGGTGGCTCCGGGCAAATGTGTATTAGTACTCACAGGTCCCAAGGATGACTCGACCCGCATTGGGCTGGGGCTGTACATACACATAGTCAGAGACAATCCCTGCCTCAGGAGTTTACAAACTAAACAGACAAGTCCAGGGCGAGGGGGAAAGGCAGATTTTAACTTACTTTTTACAGAAGAGGAAGGGGGCCAGGGAGAGAGTAAGTACCCAAGGTCCCATAGGAGGAATGGGACAGAGGCGGGGATTGAATCCCAGGCTTCCTGAGCCGAGGTTAGTGCCTTAGCCACCTGCCTACCCAACCCGCGGTGGAGTCAACCCATTGCTAAGTGTCCCAAGGAGCTGCAGCTGGCCAGGGAGCCAGAGACTCTCACAAGGAACCGCCCATGTACCCAGGTGCCGAGCGGGAACAAAACTGCCCTTCCCCTCAGTACGTTAAGGGTTAGTTGTGTCTCTGTTTCTGTCGCTGAGCAGGGCGACGAGGCGCGGCAGGAGAGTGACCCCAATAAGACCCCGCCCGGCGGGTCACAGCTCTGGAGTGGGCTCTCCAGCCCGCCCTTGTCCCCGGGCACCTCCGGGGCTGGCTGCTGCTGCGCAGCTGACGGGGTCCCCTGGCTGCGCGGCCATCCTGGGGTAGGACGGGCACCGGGGCACTGAGTTTAGGGAGCCCCCTCGCCCGGGGTCCCTAGCGCTGGTGCCTCGGCAGCGCGGGGCGACTTCGGGCAGCAGGGGGCAGCCCGGCCTCCTGCCGCACGTGAGTTGGGGAAGGGGCTTGGGGGGCTGCTGCTGCCCGGGCGGCGCCCGCGCTCCCCCCGCCCCCCACGTCTCCACCCTACAAGTCCGGCCCGCCGGCACTCCCGCTACTGCCTTAGTGATCAGCTGCTGCCGGTGCCTCCCGTTTGGGCTGAGCCAGAGGATGGTACCTTAGAGGAGGAGCCGCCGGCGCCGCCGCGATGGCTGCCCCGCTGCCACATTTGCCGCGGAGCGCAGGGAGGGCTGCAGAGACTCCGGCTCCCTCCCAGGAGAGCAGCGGTGACTTGGCTCCTTCCCCCTGGCTAGCCCAGCGGGCTCCTCTCCTCCCCCCTGCTGTGCCCCATTCCCAGGCGGGGCCCCGGCTCGGGCCGGACAGGTAAGGCTGAAGGGTGGGGTGCAGCGTCTCCGCCGGACGGATGCCGCCTGTCGCTCCGCTCTGTGTGTGGCTACAGGTGGCTCCAAGCTGCCGGGATCTGGCAGAGAGAGAGTCACTTTCAGCAGGGAAGCGTTAGCCCACCGCAACGCCCTAGAAACGCGCCGCCTCCCCTCGGGAGCCTCGCAGGCGTTTTGCGGGCAGGCTCCCGGGCGACAAGAGGCTCGGAGGTGAACGTGTGTTGGTTACACGAGGCGACGACCCTGTTCTGATGCTACTTACGCCTAGGTGGTGTGTGATCAAAACCAACCCGAGGAAGCCATCGCAGAGGTCTGATGTCTGAGCAATAGTGGGGTCGGACAGGAACAGGCTAAAAACTGTTCGCACAATTTTCGGAAAATACTATCAAAGGTTTGCCACATCCAAGGCAGAGTAAGGAAGTCGCAGCTGGAAAGGGAAAGAGATGTGCGGTATCCTGTAGCGGAAGCACCTTTTTCTTCAGTTAAAATCCCCCCCCCCCATCTTTTTTTTTTATTGGCTCTGAACACAAACGTTAGTCCCCACTCCTGCAAATGCTTAAGCATACGCTTACCTTTCCTACTGCGAGTAGTCTCTGAAATCAATGGAATTACTTACAGTGGTAAAGTTAAGTACACGCACAAGTCTTTGCAGGATAGGGACCTTTATCATTTATGTGGCAATGTTTTAGGTCTTCTCTTCTTTAATTTGTCCCTTAAGAGCTTTTAATCCACGTTTTACTTTTTAAAGGGTTTTAAAATTGAATCTTATCAGCAGAAAAATATTTCACACAAGCCATCAACTTCCACTGGCTTTTTCTGGACCTAATTAATATTGCTGTTTGTAGTTTCAGAACTTGATCTGGCAAGGCTATGGGCAACATTATACACCACACTTTTTAAAAGTGAAATGAACCAGCTTGTAAGATAAGAGCACTCCATTTGCCAGGAACATCTACTATTAAAGCTGCTTCTGTAAGAGTTATAACCACTTTAAGTGATATTTGTACCAGGTACTTTCACCAGTTGTTAAGCTCATGCTTCAAAAGGAAGATAGTTCAACTTGTATTAAAAGAGAGAGAGCTGTTAGGCTTTTATGAAGTGTCTGATAGTTTGTCTACATTAACTTCTCACACACTTCAAAACATTGTGAGCACAATACTTTCCACTCCTGCTAAACACTATCTATTCCCTGTAAATTAATGTTCTCTAAATACTTCAAGAAATAAAAGCAGCCTCAAAAGTAATTTAATGATGTGGAAGAGTCTAAACATTTTTATCATACCAATTAACAAGTGACCCATAGAATGACACTAATATAGGTAACTAAGAGGTTAAATATTAACCCGTCTTCAACTCCCAGAACTGGGGAACGGGGCGGGGAAGGAATGCTTGCATAATCAAATCAAGATTTATGGTGTTTTGATTTCTATTGCCTAGAAGAATAGGCACAAATTTATATTTTATATGTCAGAAAATTGTGTAATGTAGTGTGCACAGCATTCTAAAAGCTTAGATGTTGCTGGTTAAAATTATTTATTTTTTTAAATGAATGCATAAGGGCTCTTGCAAAATGATTATGGAAGTGGTAATCTGCTCAAACTCTCGCAGGTACTGGCTGGTGGTATTTGAAACAAATACGAAGTTAGATTTTTAAAAACATGACCCTATACTGAGTCTTATAGCTAATTAGGGAGTTATTAAAGAAAGAAGACAAACACGGAGACAGTTAGAGACAGAAGGGAATATTTTTCCTACGTGAAATTCCAAGCTATGAATCACCTTGGGACCGGACCCCACCAAAACTCATGCAGGTGCTTTACTTTTTATCATGAGTAGCTCTGTTCAAACAGATAGAACTACTCCTTATAGTAAAGTTAAGCATATGCGTAAGAATCCGGGGACTGAGAATATTTGCAATACTTGAGGACGGTATGGACACACTTAAGCCCTGGTGCTGTAAAGATTTACACTAGCAATTAACTTTACAACCATGGGTTGTCACTGGGATTTAATCTAGTCTTCCCCATTAACTGAAATTAGAGAAGGGTGTTAAATTTACGGGGGAGGGTTGGAAAACGACTAAATTGGCAACACTGCAACCACTGCGGGAGATGGGAGAGTTCTGGGGGTGTAAGGAAATCCTGCATGTGCAAAATTAATCATATGCATTTTAATCAGTACACCCTTTTGACAAAAAAAGTCCTAGTAATGTGACCAATAACTAATGTGGCAAATCCCCTAATATTAATGTCCTAATATATACTGTATTTATATAAACCATGTTGTGCATTTTGTTGATGTAGGATCAAAAAGAAAGAGCGTGATGTGTTGGCAATCCCATCAATTCCAAACCCTTTTCCTGAGCTATGTTGCTCTCCACTTTCATCGGTTTTGTCAGCCAGCCTGTTGCCCAAGGCAACTTCAAGAAAAAAGCAGGTAAGATTTATAAATTATTTTTTGTTAAAACACTTAGTTCTACAAAAGTGTTTTTTTTACTCCAACCCTCAATGAAATATACAATTATCTACTTAGAAATAGATCAGTTAAGTTCCAAATAATAAATTCCAAACATTCCCAAGAAATTAAGATATACAGTCCAATAAACAGAGTATTAATGGTGATAATGACTTTTTGGAATCAAACCTAGGAGGTATGAATACTATTCACAATTGAGATGTGATTGACTAACCTGTGACAGGTAAAGAGAAATCACGAGCAGGTTATGCTTTGTCATCCCTAAATGAAAAATTAAATGTATACCTTGCCCATCATTATAATTAGACTGTAGCAGCTGGGTGTCCACAGTAACTGAACAGCTTTTTATCTAAAGAGTCTAATGTTGTTAGTAAAGCTGTAAAAACAAAACATATTGATAATTAAAGGGCTCAGATACCAAGCTTTTCACCATGCTAGGTGGATAGCGGGTTTATGTCCAAATTCTGTGGCATACATATACAATATTTATTTTAAGTGAATCTCCTAAATGCGAGTCAGAGGAAGCATTGTCACAGCTTTCAAGAGTTCAGGTAGGATTTGCACTCCAATAGTGGGTCATCTTTTCTGGCAAGAAAAAAAATAGTTGCCGGAAATTATTCTTTTGTAGTCCATGTTCCCTTGTAACATGCTTGACCAGGGATGGATACTAGAGATCAAGAGTAGTTAAGCTTTCATTTCAGCATTGAATTGAAGAAAGCAGCGGTGTTCAAACTTTCAGTTTGTGTCTCAAAAACTGGCCCATCTCAACTCTTCAGGTTGTTTTTGTGGGTTTTTTTTTTTTTGTGGGTGGAAGAACCTTTATCTGGGTGGAACACTCCCAGTGGTGCTACCTCCAGGACATTGTCTCTGCATGCTTGTTCTCTGTGGGATCTTTCCTGTGAGGTGTTTTAGGTGCAGGCAAGTGGAAGAGGAAGCAGAGCTGATAAGTACCTACTCACTGTAGTACTGCTCCTTTCTCAACCTTCAGATTTTCACTAAGAAACTGTGGAAGCTAACATGGCTACCAGCAGCATTCATTTATCTGGAGTTGACCCCTCCATGGGTGCTGCTGTTCAACTGCAGGGATACTGTCATTGGCAGCATAGCTTCTATTGGAAAATGTCCTCCTGGCGTATGTGAGGTGTCAAATCTGAGAGGGCCCTTTTGTGTGGAGGATCTCTTTGATAATCCCTTTAAACCTGTCCTATTACAGGGGGTGGTGTTCTGAAAGAAGTCCATCTGGATGGCATTTTCAGGCCCCTCTGGTTGTCCTCACATGAGTGCCCCTGTCATGGAGAAAATCTGGCCCACTGTTCCAAATGCTGTGTTGCTATGTCTCAACTTCTTCCCAGTCATAGTAAGCTCCTTTGTAATATGTGTCTTGAGGCTGATGCAAAGGATGGGTACTAGGCACTTATCAGCAAAATGCAAGGGTAGCACTTTGGATGAGATGCCAGTTCCTGACCTCTAGCTGGTGGCACGGTCCCTCTTTAGAGGCTCTGTCTTTCAATATTGGCCTCTGACAACTTCTTGCTTGTGGCTTATAGAGCTTTGTTTCTCTCTCTCTCAACCCCTTTTTCCCTATGACACCTTGTGCAAGAGTGTCCATTACTTTACCTTTTCTGCAACCTCCCGCTGTGAAGGTTGGCAGTGTGTGGTGGGGGACTGAAGCTAGAGATCATCACTACTTTAACCCTCCCCACCTAATTCTGTTTCCTTCTCATCTTCACCTAGGAATAGCAGTGGTGTTTGCTTATACTATTATTGCTCTGAGTTTTGCAATAAGGGAGTAAATTGACATCACTCTTGTCAGTTTCATAACTGCCCACAGGATTTTGAATGTCAGCAGTGAAACTGAGCTTACACTTGTAATTTTAATGCCTGGGGAAGCTCTAAACAGCAGCAGAGGAAGGAAGAATACATTAAATCAACTCATGTTTGGAAAATTCTTTGCCATCATAAGGGCTAGAAACTTTTTTTTAACATAAGTTTAAACACCTCATATTGAAGGCTAAGACCTGTCTCTGCCTCCACTCAACATGTCAATCTTCCTACTTGAAACTAGTAAATGGATTTTTCAAGTCCTGCTTTAACATGCAAGAGCCCAAGTGCATAATGATGTAGCCCGTCAAGTTAAAAAGTGTGTGTTTTCATTAGTTAACTTGATCCTGAGGTTGGTGTATGAGTATAAATGTAAGTTTCATATCTTTACTGCTTTTATTGCTGTCTAGTTCAGTTAAAGGATCTTGCCCCAGGACCCAAATCTTTGGTTCCATTCCTACTCTTTGTACTATCTTCTTATTTCCCATTTAAGGAGAAAAATATTGTGTGTGGTAAAAGCAGTATCAGTGGATTAAAAATCTAGGGGCTTCTTCAAAGATGGAGTTCAAATAACTATATTTCATAGGGCTTGATCCAATGCTCGGTAAAGGGGTCTTTTCTATTGATTTCACTGGGCATTTGATCAAACCCATAATATCTGTCCGCTGAGAACGCGGATTCAGATTTAAACCTTCTAATATTTTTTTACAGTAAAGTACATTTTCCTTGCACATGGGTAAACAGATGTGCAGAGAGCTGAAATAACTTGTCAAAGGTTTCACAGAATAAGTGTCAGATTCTGTGTGCTAAAATTCATGAGACCCAGTTCCCAGTGGTTGCTTTAGCCACTTATTTTTACTCCTTTGTAACAGAGCTCCAGTATATTTAATACATACACAAACACTACTGTGACTATATTATAACTCTGCTGAAGTACATGAATGTTATAGTCTGCTGGAAACCTCAAAGCCACCTACAATAAAGGAATTCATTATCTCACTAAAGAGAAAAATGTAATTTGTTACTGTCAAATACTTTATTATATATAGTGCTCATGGCTAAAGGGTTTTCTCTTTCATACCTCTGATCCAGATATGTTTTCTCAGACTATCATATTAGACTGCTTCCTTCTTACCTTAATATATTTTCCTGATGGATTTAAGCAATAGAGACAAGTAAAGGAAAATTTACAAAGTTAGCTTCTACATAAGCCTAAGGTATCATTATCAGCCCAGTATGCCTCTAAAAGAAAAATACCTAACATTATAAAAATAAGACAAACTAGATGTATACAACAGAACCATTTCATATATCCATAAAATAACTTTTCATTTTATCAAACCCTTTTTCTATGCGAGTCTGACGAACTGTTTTACAGGTACTTGGACCATTCTGGAGATGTCTTTAGGTATTTAATAGATTTTGGGAGGGCTTTTCTGCCTTGTTGGGAGGGATTTTCCCTATAATCTTTGGTCTCAGGAAGGAGAGGTTTAATTTGACTTCAATCTCATGGGCTATTCAAGATATCCATGGTTTTCCTCTATTAGTTTGTCCCACCACACTACAAGTCAAAGTAATCAAACACCTTCCTCATGTGGCTTCCAGTTTTAAAATAACTACAGTAATTCTCTAATTTGAAAGAGGTTTAGATTATTTATTAGGATATTATCAGACACCTGATTGGAATAGACCTATATCCCCTAGATTCAACAATAGTGTCCTCCTAATTTGCATATCGTTTTATTTGTTTATTTTTATAAACCCTTTTAGCTCTCAAATATCCATCACACAGCCTAATTCAAATTGTCAGCTCTATGTTATTAGGATACACCCAGAGATGGAGTTACCACTTAGTCAAAAATGAAAGATTGCTTAAAACTATTAACATGAAGTGTGAACTTTTACTTTCCCAAGCTGAAGTTTACTGTTCTGTTGATCTTTTGTCTTTGTTTAAAGCATTGTCAAATACAACACAGTGCATGCTGACAGACTAGGACACCTGTTTAATGGGGCTGACTTGCAGGACTTGAGTTTATGTGGGCTAATAATTTGCTTTTATAGCAGAATGATCAATTGCCTATGTGCTTGGGAAGTGGGCCATCTGTGTTTAAACGTTATTCAGTTCTGCACTGTCAACACAGCTGTCACTCTCCCATTTCCTCATACAGTTTGGGAAGTGATTGATTGCAGTCCTGATATTATGGCAACATTTATTAGAGCAGAATTTTGTACCACAGGTGTCTGAAACTTTCTGTTAAAACATTGATATTCTAATGAACCAACACCATATAAACAGAATAGCTTTTACTGAATAAACTTAAAACTCTTAAAATTTGAACAGATAAAACTACACCAGAGCTTTGTTTTGTTTATTAAACCAAACAAACAAACAAACAAAAAAAGACTCTGTACTATAGGACCAGCAGGGTCACAAGTCTTGTTCTTTTCAAGTGGTGAAAGAGGGACTGAGATAGGTATCCCAGGGAGTGAGCTGTATACAGGAAGTACCCGTGTACTTGGAAGAACTAATACCTGTCAATCTATTTTAGGTATTTGTAAGACTTGATTTCAGCAAGGAGCTGCCTGGGTGTGAGATTGCCCCTGGGTGGGTCTGATTGCAAGATCAGGCCTTGGTCTGAGAATACAAAATGCTGAGTTGTATCTCTCTGCTTAGAGAGAACCAATCTGTTCCCTGCTCTTTTATTCTCTTTCCTTAGTGTATGAGTAATACAAGAACAGAGACAAAATCCGTGTCTGTCAAATTTAGAACAAATAAAAGGAAACATTTCATACAGTAACAGGACATAAGTAATCAGTCTGTGGAATTCACTTCTGTAGGACAGTGGTCTCCAAAGTGGGGTGCGCAAGACGATCGATTGGGGGGCGCAGCAGGAGCAGCACCGCTGTGGGGCGGGGAGGGGGGGAGGGAGGGGAAGGGGGCGGCCCTGAGTCCTCCGGCCCGTGGGGGAGCAGGGGCAGCAGCGCAGCCACCAGCTGGAAGGAAGCGGCACTTTCCTCTTCAAAGCCGGCCGGAGAGAAGCGGCGCTTTGAAGGGGAAAGTGCCCTTCTCTCCGGCCGCTGGCTGCGCGGCTGCCCCTGCTCCTCCTGAGTCCTCCAGCCCGTGCTCGCAGGGCTGCAGG